ACACGTAAAGTGCGCTTTATTATTATAGATGCAAAAAGATGTTAATATTTGAAAGTTTGTTTTCTTCCAAATTATAATCTGTTATAACCTGTTACGTCTTTACGAACGTTTTAATAAACAACGCAAATATTGCCATAAATGTTGTTGCGGGAAGGCTTGTTGTGTTTAAGTGTTTCCCGGTATTATTTTTCGCGGTATTTATTGCGGACTTGAATGTGTGTCTGAGTAATAAATGAGTAACACAAAACGATATAAAACAAACTATAATCCAGAGACGAATATGCAATGCGATAGATCCTGATCTATCATCTCGTCTACAGTCGCTTTCTCACAGCCTGGCCGTGATTTCCCTCTGTCTCTTCAACAAGTATTTTCACGGCAACGGTTCCGGCGAGCCACTTTCGCTGGTTCCAAAACTTCATGAATTTAAGCGAGCTTCTAGGCTGGCATCTCGGTCCCACCATTTCACTGTTAAATCTAACCGTCTTTTCTACTCAATCAGCTTCTTCTCTCGCACTTCCCATCTGTGGAACTCCCTTTCTCTTACTTGCTTCCCTGATAACTATAATCTTCAAATATTCAAGTGTAATGTCAATCGAAATCTTCTGATATCTTGATCTTGTTCCCCGTCCTTCTCTGTGTCCTTTCCTCAAGCGCACCTTTTTAATCTTGTTCTCAAAACTCTGTAACCCCTTGCGTGCTAGTGGCACTCCTGCCTTGCTTGGAGTGAAATGCTTAAAAAAATGCATGTTTTAACAAAAGTATTACAATAACAATAAAGAAAGAAAACATTTAAAGACTAGTTTTATCAAACATTAAAATTAGAGAATATGTGTTTGTATGAAATTTCTGTAGGCTTACATGATAGACATGTATGTATGTATGAAAGAGTATAAAAAGTCACAAGAGAAATGTAAGACATTGAAAATGAACGTGATCCAATGGGGGACACTATTTTCCAACGTGCGACTACATATTATAGCCAGAGTTGTAAAAAAGGAAAGAGAATGAGTGAGAATATCATTGTCTATTCATAGGCTTAGTGCGCATCTCCTAGAAACGGTTTCTTTAAGAAAGTCAAGTGGGATCGCCCACAATGCCCGTATCTGCATTATTACAATTAAAAAAAACAAAAAAAAACTTAGTTAATAATATACAGGGAAACATGACGTTTCGACCGTTATACGCTCCGGCCTTCTTCAGGTGATTGGAATTTCGAGTTGAACCCTTTCTTTCGTCCACATGGTTCAGTGGATAAAAGCGTTGTTTAGATGTAGTGACTTGACCCAAAGAGTTGTGAGTTTAATATATCTGGTAAAAGAACAAAACAAACCTAAAACCAAAAAAACTGAAGTTGAATTAAAGGGAGATAACCGAGAAATCCGGAAGAGGCATGATACGTGGAACTAGAGCAATCTATCCCGGTGACGGAAAAAAGAGGGTTCAGTTCGAAATTCCAATCACCTGAAGAAAGCCGGAGCGTACAACGACCGAAACGTCGTGAATATGGTAATAAAGATGAGGACAACAGTCCGAGCGATGTAAATAATGTAAATAATTACAATACCTTATCTCAGAAATATAGACAGATATAGTGAAACTCGCAAGAGACTTGTGAAATTATCGTAGTTAAATGATCAGAGAACTAGAATGAATTTTTTTTAACTGCAAATAATCTTGCTATGTGATTTTTTAATACATAAATACTTGTTAAAGTGTTAGTAGATTTATATTTAATCCGAGATTTGTTATTACTTAAAGGGTTATTTTTAGTGGATATTCGTGTTTGAAATAGACATCCCGTTTTTATTTAAGCGTATGTATTACGCCTACCAGCCTGCGAACTCGAGTTAACTTAATAAAAAAAATGTGCCTGGGTTCGAAATTGGGTCTTATCTTTTAAGAGAAACATCCGTTTGATATGGCGTGCTTTAGATCTCTTCAAAACTTGCCGGAGAGCAGATTTTCTTTATTAAGATCCACACCTCTCTGCGTGCAATGAGGAAGGCGCTGGTGAAAATCTCCGGGACCAGGGACCTTCTACCATCCCAAATAAGGAGAGAACAGATATCCCATCCCGTGGCCCAGAAAGAAAAGAAAATCGTAACTCAATTAGTACTGTCAGCTTGGTCAATGTATGCCGAATGTTTCCGTATAAGGAAACGGTTAATGTCAACTAGGATTGTCAATAGTCCTTTGTGTTAAAATAATATAACCATTGATTACAAACAGGCAAATGTTTATGCAGTTCTTTATGCTCTTGTTCTTCTATTTTAATTTTGTTTAATCATCCCCCAAGCAAGGCAATGAAGCCACTAAGACGCAGAGGGTTACTGACTGCGAGAATATGACAAAAAAAGACATAATTAAGGAGAGAGAACAATAAAAGAACAGGAATTAAGGAAGCAGAAGAAAACGGCGAAGATTAAATTTGACTGGGAAGCAAGAAGGTAGAAGCGAGAAGTGCAAGAGAAGAAACTGTTAGCATAGAACTAACAATTTTAACTGTAAAATGGTTACATCTAACAATTTTAAGGCTGTAAAATGATATTGAGCCTTACCAAGAACGAAAGCTATTTGTATTTCATCAGAACAATAAACAGAAGAAACAAAAATATGTGGAGGGCATCAGCCATAATGATGAAAGATAAAAGAAAGCTACTTTAAGGAAAACATTAGGAAAGGTTATGCGGACTCTCCTGGAAATTACAATGAAAGATAAAGGGCTGATAACGTTGCATGTTCTATTTGTATTTTATCAAGAATCTTTAAATAAACAGAAGAAACACCAATGAAGGTGTAATGCGTCACTCTCCTGGAGGTTAGCATCAGCCATAATGATGAAAGATAAAAGATCTTATAAATCTTTACACTTCATGTCAGTGGAAAACATTAGGCAGTGAAGGTGTAATGCGTCACTCTCCTGGAGGTTAGCATCAGCCATAATGATGAAAGATAAAAGATCTTATAAATCTTTACACTCCATGTCAGTGGAAAACATTAGGCTGTGAAGGTGTAATGCGTCACTCTCCTGGAGGTTAGCATCAGCCATAATGATGAAAGATAAAAGATCTTATAAATCTTTACACTTCATGTCAGTGGAAAACATTAGGCAGTGAAGGTGTAATGCGTCACTCTCCTGGAGGTTAGCATCAGCCATAATGATGAAAGATAAAAGATCTTATAAATCTTTACACTTCATGTTAGTGGAAAACATTAGGCAGTGAAGGTTTAATGCGTTACTCTCCTGGAGGAGCATCAGCCATAATGATGAAAGCATCTTATAAATCTTTACACTTCATGTCATGGAAAACATTAAAGAAGGTGTAATAAATCCTGGAGGTTAGCATCAGCCATAATGATGAAAGATTCTTATAAATCTTTACACTTCATGTTAGTGGAAAACATTAGGCAGTGAAGGTTTAATGCGTTACTCTCCTGGAGGTTAGCATCAGCCATAATGATGGAAGATTAAAAAAAAAACTTCTCAGACAATTAAAACAAATTATCTCATCAACTTCGATGACGTTAAAATTAACAAGCCATTACTTGCTAATATATTTTCTTTAAAATACCTTGGCAAGACTTGGCAAGAGTATATATGAAATCTCGATTTACATTTAATATTACAGTATTATAAAGATAGGCTCCATACAATTGCTGGTAATGTACGGCTTCTCGGCAAGTATTAGTGGTTTATTTTGTTTTACAGCATATCAACCTCAATGGGATATTTAATGATAACAAGATTTTTAGGATAGGTTCGTATGAATAGATATGTATTCTTTGTGAGAAATCATTTTGTAGATCAGGTTTCATTGATGTATTTTTGCAAAGAGGGTTATTGTTGAGAGTCAAATGTAACGCTGGTATATTTTTAAAAAAAATATATTGCTTGTATTTTTACTATAAAAATTCTTTTTATACTTTCATAGTATTTTGACTCAAGTTTGGCGGTTAACTATTTGCCTATAGCTGAGACCTTAACAGGTGTTACCACCCCGCAATTAAGAGGTTCTTCCATGCTCCTTAAAACCTCCCGATCGAAGTCCTTGCTACCAGTTTATCGTCATATCAGGGCGATGTTTGGTTATAATATCACAAAATAAAAATAAGATTTAATTAAAGTGTTAATATTTATTAGCATTGAAATAGTATAGTATTGTGATATTTTTAGATAAGATTGTGTAATATTAATTTCTAGGGCATCGGTTCATCGTTATTGTGAAGTTCTGTGTTTGTTGCCTGCCATGAAATAGCAATAGTATAAAAAGAGTGCCATAAATGAAATTTTCCAGGAATGAAACTTATGGTTTATAGCGGTATTCAGTAATTTAGCAATAAATATTTAACTAGTTGGATAGTGTAACCTAAGATTCCAGACAGCGCATGAGTAAGTGGGTTATTTTGATTTGTAAAAATGGTATTTCACAAAGTAGGAACATTTTAACTGTTCTCTGCACGCCATGTTTTGAAGAAAATAGAAAGTAGAACAGAGAGAGAGAGAGAGAGAGAGAGACAGACAGACAGACAGACAGACGGAGACAGACAGACGGAGACAGACAGAGAGAGTGAAAGAGAGATAAGGAGATTGAGACAGAAGGAGGATGTGTGAGAAAAGGACGGCGAGGGACAGATAAACACAGGTAAAGATGGGGGTCTGAAGGAGAGCTAGACAGAAGGAGGATGTGTGAAAGGGAAAAGGATAGAGAGAGGGAGAGATAAGGAGGCAGACGGAAGACAGAGAAACACAGATAAGATGGATAGGGGAGGAGATAGACAGAAGGGAGGATGTCTGATAGAAAATGAGAGACAGATAGTAGACAGAAGGAAGGATGTGTGATAGAAAGGGAGAGAGAAAGATAGAGAGAGTGAGAGAGATAAGGAGATTGAGAGGGCAGAGAGACAGAGAAACACAGATAAGATGGATAGGGAGGAGAGCTAGACAGAAGGGAGGATGTCTGATAGAAAAAGACAGAGAGGGACAGATAGTGGCAGACGGAAAGAGAGAGAAAGAGAGTGATAGAGAGATAGGATGGGTATGAAGGAGAGCGAGACAGAAGGGGGAGATATGTGATAGAAAGGGAGAGAGACAGAGAGAAATACAACGAGAGAGAGAGAGAGAGAGGAGAGAGAGAGAGGAGGGAGAGAGAGGAGAGAGAGAGAGAGAGAGAGAGCGAGAGTCAACACTAGAAAACTTTTTCTTTGAACTTCGACTTGTTCGATCTTAACCGTCTTTCCGATTGCGATGACATAAAAGAGAATCAGCCGAATAACGATGCCTGTGGATTTCTAACATTTTGCGAGGGGAATAAAATAAAATAAAATAAAAGTTCAAAAGAAAAAAGAAAACATGCGTTAAAGATATAAAACAAGTTAAAAAAAATAGAGGACTAAAAAAAAATGACATTCACTTACCTTTGTCTGCTGACATAAGATACAATTGCTTAGGCATACTTATTTCAAGAATAATTCAAAATACATAATATTTTTAAGTTTAAATCAGTCAAAAACTGATTAATAAGTATTTTGTAGGCTAAGCCATCTTTCGTACATGATCAAGTTCCAGGTAAAAACTCATTGCAACCAGTATGAGAAACACATTTATTGACTATTGCCAAATAAATATTTGTGTTCAGTTGTAGAGCATATCCATTGGTTAAAACTTAAATGATAACTTTAAATTCTTTTTCTTTTCATGGCTTTTCATAACTTCCGATCCTTCATAGTTCTAATCAATGTTTGTCTCTTTACTATCCCTCCAAGTTCTGCCATCAATTGACACAAAACTCTTTTGATAGGTTACTCCCTGTTTCTCGCTTGTCTTTAGTGTTGTGGTAGGATCCACATAATTTGCATAGTGGAGTACCGACCATATAAATATGGTTGGTACCGGGAAGAGAGTAGGAGGAATCAAGAGATTCAACCAGAGACTCTGCCCGACTGCGACTCAGTCAACACATTCTCCAGGAACGGTCTTGCCAGGAATATACAAAAGACTATATGTAAATATTGTGTACACTTTCTTGTTTCAATACATTTTGTTCTAAGTACCTTTTGTGTTGCATTATTATTCCATGCATTAATCAAGTTTCAACATTTAGTATGTCTTGTGGGTGTCAAATTCTCTATGCCCTCTTTCTTCATTATCCGTCTTGGAAATATCAACTACGTCTTTCTGACCATAAGTACGAGGGTCATTTTTGTTCTCATTTTCCTTAAAACAGTGTCATATTCCAAACTCGCTTTCATCATTATGTGCCTTAGAAATTTCAACTGTCTTTTTCCTTTCATTGCTAAGTCCATGGTATCCTCATCATCCTTCTGTAGAACCACATTTTTTCATCTATGTCGATATTGTCCTGCAATCACTACCATATAGGAGGACTGATATTACATAACAGTTAAGTATTGTTTTCTTTGTTTCTGACGGGATTTTCCTGTTTCTTGATACTTTGCTTAGTTTTTGGAAGGCAACTTTCACTCTCAAATGGGCTTTCGGATTTCGATGTCGAACTTTCTGTTCTGCTAAAAAAACCTTCCTCCCCCCCTCTCTCTCTTTTAAATATTTTTTAAATAAACGACTTCCGGTAGAATAACCGCCATAATAGACTACCCACAATGCACCACTGACCCGTATATGTATAAATAGCCGAAAAAAATAACAGCACACGTGGCCTGACGATTGCATATAGCATGAAACAGACTGTCGCCTCTAAGTGTTGACTTCTATGTTGACTTTTTTTCTATATTATATATTTATATATATATATATATATATATATAAATAAATGGTGGTACTCTTTTGGAAAAAACCTCGGATAGCTTAACTTGTAGTAGAAAAAATCAGCACCCAAGGAAAAATGGGAAATAAAAAAGAAAGAACCAAGAACATTAAAACAAGGCGAAAACAATCGTCCAGTGTTTAAGTTCAAAGGAAAAAAAACAAAACGAGTAAAAAGACAACTACGTAAAGTGCTCAATACGCTAAGTAGAGTGAACCTACTACTATATAATATAGTATATAATACCATATATATATATATATATATATATATATATATATATATATATATATATATTTACTAGCTTGATTTTGGCATCTCAAATTCGTAATTCTCATGTTAGTCTCTTCTATTTGCTGACAACTCTACGCTCTGAACTTCTTACAATTCATGTTTAGCTTCTCACTCTGCTTTACTACAATTTGTAGGAGTTCCTGTATTTTCCTTTTTGTGCCTGCTATAAACGCTGTGTCATATGGACATCTTAATGTTGTTCAGATTGTGGACGCCAATACTAAATCCAGGTATGAATTCTCATTCTCTGAGAATCATTCCACTGTAAACATTGAATAAGTCCGGTGAGAAGACACATCTTTGTTGTACACCCCCTTTTTTTATTATTATTTTTCGTATATTTACTGAATTCATTTTCAATCCGTACGCAGGCAGTTTGCTTCCAGTATAATTTCTGGATTGTTTCAATATATTTCCCAAATATATCAAGCTTACCTAAAACAAGTTTAAAACAGAAGTAAGCACAGTAAAGGACACAAGACTTTAATGACCGAGATAGCATACATTTTAAAGAGAGTTGATCAGCGTTATGCTAGACACGGAAAGCACGAAATACTAGTCATAAAAGTATTGCTAGACTTCCATTTGATTACGTTATCCCACGCACATCTCCCACGTCGTCGATAATATCAAAAGCATTTGCAGACCGACCGTCGTCAACATAAGTACTCAGTTGAGCAGCCATTTCAACAAAATGGTCGCTTTCAAAAGGCCAATTGACGTTAGTCATCCTCGTGCACCAAGAAGGCTGATGACATTATGCAAAGGATTTAAAATAGGAATATTTTACATTCATTGTTATTAAACTCATTGTCATAAACAACTTTGCATTATATAAAAAATTATATGGAATTTATTGTCTTCAAAATATTATTTATTTGAATTATTAGAATTTGTTTTATAAAGTGTTTATGACTGAGTAATTTTGATAATATTTTGATGGCATAATCCGTAATAGGGACTCGGTTTACGGTAAAATACCTAGGAATATACGTAGTTTATGGAAAAGGGATGAATAGACCAAAAATATCGAGAAATACTGAAGAGAGAAATCTATCTATCTATCTATCTATCTATCTATCTATCTATCTATCTATCTATCTATTCATTATCTGTTATCTCTGATCATTATGCATGTATCTATCTATCTATCTATCTATCTATCTATCTATCTATCTATCTATTCATTATCTATTCTCTGATCATGTTATCTCTGTATCATTATCTATCTATCTATCTATCTATCTATCTATCTATCTATCTGTTATCTATGATCATTATCATGTATCTATCTATCTATCTATCTATTCTATTATCTCTCTATCCTTTATCTATCTATCTATCTATCTATCTATCTATCTATCTATCTATCTATTCATTATCTGTTATCTCTGATCATTATGCATCTATCTATCTATCTATCTATTCATTATCTGTTATTCACTGATCATTATGTATGTATGTATGTATCTATTCATTATCTATGTCTGATCATTATCTATCTATCTATCTATCTATCTATCTATCTATCTTAAGCGAGCTAGATGGATGAGAGCCGACTGAGATAAACGCAAGAGATAGATAGATAGATAGATATAAGGAAACTAAGATGGACAACTAAGAAACATACCTAGATAGATAGATAGATAGATAGATAGATACTGTAAGATGGAAAGAGAAATTAACAGATATTGAGAGAGAGAGAGAGAGAGAGAGAGAGAGAGAGAGAGAGAGAGAGAGAGATGCAGTATTTACGTATTTTAAATTCGTGTTAGGTTTTATGAATGGGGAAATAGTTCCATCCAATAAATTCAACTCAATATCGAAGAATTGCTCCACTTTTATTTTTATTAATCTCGAGTGTGATGTCAAAGTAGATTTCCTTGAATACCCGATGCAACCCCCTCCCTACGAAGCCGCCCCCTCCTCCATTACTATGCCCAACCAGCAGCCCGTCACCGCGGCAAACACCACGACTGTCCACGCGAACAACCTTAATGATCCTGCCCAAAAGGCAAACTTCCACCAACTCCGACACCCAAGCCCCACCGCACGATCCCCGGGGCACGTCAAAACCGCCACCCTCAGAATCTCCGATCCACATCTCACTCCCATGGAACAATATTGATCCACGACAATGCAGAACAACTCCAACATCTTCTGACCAAAATTTACAAAATCTTTGGCAAACAGCTGAACCTCCGACTAACCCCACTCCGCAATAGAAGGGCAGAAGTCTTTGATATGACATTCGATGAAAACCAAACTACTCTCACTCGTGATGCTCCCGAACCAAGAAACACAATCCGAGGCACCCACCACTCGGCCAACTCCTGCAGTCACCAACTACAGTCGATTAATTCCAGTGTAACATTAACTTATTTAAGTTTTGGTGTGTGAAATGTAATTTAATTCGCTGTATTAGCCATCTGAAGAGTCGAAACCGTGATCATATTTCTATCCAGTATCTGAAGATTTTACTACCTATATATATATATATATATATATATATATATATATATATATATATATATATGTTGGTCAAAACTAGTCGTGGAATCTAAATGAAATAATAATAAAAAAAAAAACGAAAGAATATTAATCTACAACCCAAATATCTATCTGTCTAAATCTGTTATATATATAACAGTGTGTCTAACAATTTTAATTTTTTATAATTTTTATATTTTTTCATTGTTCAATATATATATATATATATATATATATATATATATATATATATATATATATATATATAACAGATTTAGACAGATATGAACCGACCGAGATAGATAGACAAATAAGACATATATAGATAGACAGTGAGAAGAGAACGAATTGTCACGTTATTCTTAGAGGATACTCATATTTGAGTAGACGCTTCTTTATTTAGGAAACAGACTATTTATTTTCCTCTGCCGGCCTACATATTCGGGGAATCTTATTAAAAAGAATACGCGGTCCCCGGTTGCACTTTGCAGGAGAAACTGTCGTTAGATCTGACGTCCTCTAGAAGACCGACTCAGCCAGGGATTGCGTCGCCGACCAGGCAAAAGCAAATAGTGCCTTATAAGCGCAAATCATTTTCAAATTATCGAAAGTTCATATCTGCACAGTTTCGTTTCCGAACGTAAACAAAAGAACTTCTAAAGAAGCAATGCATTTATTTATTTATTAATACGACAATTTTTATTAAACGTTATTTTAACGCTATTTTAATGGATAGCCGTATTTGACTAGACGCTCGGCGTATTTATGAAACATTTTATTTATTTTCGTCTACCGACATAAATATTCGCGAAATCTTATTAACGCAAAATATGCGCTCTCCGACAGGATTTTTTTTTAATAAGAATTCTTGAATATCCATGTCGGTAGACCAAAATAAGTAAATATAATGTTCAATGAATAAACTATGGATATCCACTAAAAATAACGCTAAAAGTGATAAAATCTGTTGGATTAATAGATAAAAAAAAATCATTAGTTCTTTTTTATATATATATATATATATATATATATATATATATATATATATATATATATATATATGTTTGTGTATGTTCGTAGGTGAGCGTGTGTGTTTAAAATTTCAGGTAGAATATATCTGTAAACGGACAATATAAATATAGGCAAAAAGGAAAACTATTTTTAGCCGACGAGCTACGAAAGACTTTATCAATTTCCTTGATTAAGTCGCTCAGAGAGGACGAAACTTGGCTAAGATACTTTTCTCTTTGGGGTATATATATATATATATATATATATATATATATATATATATATATATATATATATATATATATATATATATATAATAACTGAAATTGGTTTATACAGAGATGGTCTTATGGTTATTAGAAACTCTACTAACTTTAAAATATATAAAATTAGAAATATATTATATAAAGAATTTAAAAGCATGAACTTAAAAATTACGGTTAGCACTAAATTAAAAAAGTTAACTTCCTTGATATAACATTAGATTTAAAGAAAAATACATACACACCTTATAAAAAACACAATACCAATCCTCTATATATACACCCTAAATCAAATCCACTCCCATCTATAATTAAACATATACCTTTATCTAAAAAAAGAATAAGTACAAATTCAGCAAATGACAAGATTTTCGATGAACATATTAATTTCTATAATAAAGCTCTAAAAGATAGTTGCTACAAAATCCCAAAACTAACTTATATAAAAAATGAAAATGGATAGCATAGAAAAAACAGAAGTAGAAAAATAATTTGGTATACTCCCCCATACAACCAAATGGTAAAGAACAAATTAGGACAAAAATTCCTCACATTAATAGTCAAGCATTTTCCTAGTGAAACTAAACTAAGTACTATTTTCAATAAAAATACACTAAAATTAAGTTACAGCTGTACTGAAAACTTATTATTAAGAAACATAATGCTAATATCTTAGATAAACATTTATACCAGAACCAAAAAATTTTAGACAATGGAAAAATAAAATAAAAACAGATGAAGATAAACAAAAATTATGTAACTGTAGAAACCCTCACAACTGTCCTCTACAAAATAAATGTCGCACGGAATCATTAGTATACCAATGAAAATTGAAAATCCTGAAAACTTGAAAAACTATATAGGTTGCACAAGCCATGAGTTCAAAAAACGTTTCAACCAACATCAAAGTTCATTTAGGATAAATAAATATAGAAATCAAACATCTCTCTCAAAGTACTTCTGGCACGTAAAAGAAGCCAATAAAAGACCTACAGTAAAATGAAATTAATAAGAAAAGCTAGAATATGTAGGCCATTAAATGACCCATGTCCTTTGTACATACATGAGAAACTATATATTACTAAGTTTATAAAATATAAAAGTTTACTGAATCAGAGAAATGAATTAGCTATTTTTTGCCGTCATTTCAAAAATTTTCCTTAAATAATATTTAAAAATAAAATTTTGAAATAATGTGACCTGGTAATATACATACTTATACTTGATATGAAAAAATAATTTTATATACTGTAAGTGATTCTAGTACATTTACTTGTTTTAAAAGAAATATTGTTTATTAAAAATTAAAAGTGAAAATATTCTAAAATTGTAATTAAATAAAACGTATTCTAACCTAAACATCCCCAAAAAATCTTTAAGTATACAAATAGAAAAAATGCCGTAAGAATTTTTTGCCGTTAATAATAAAATTAAAAAACGAAACAAAAACAGACGACGTGCATTTAACGGATGTCAGAATTCGTTGAAAAATACGTCCCTTCACTACCTAGAATTAACCCCTCTTTCAAATGTAACTGATACCTGATACAACAAAAGCTAATAAAAATGAGCACGCTACCACCCCTTGTCTGAATGATTGGATCTCTCTGTATCCTTGGAAACAGTGAATTATGAATTTTCTGTGCATTTAAAACTCAGTAAATTTAAAAAATATGTTACTCCAAAATTCGCATGAGGATGAATGTAACTAATATTTTAAATTTAATTACGAAATTAA